TTTGTGTACACAGATCACGTTCCCATCTGTGTATTTGGAGTGTGCGCCTCGCGGGTGGTGTTGATTGGGCTGGAAGTTTCACGTTTCTCCTTCGGCTGGACCAGGGGGACGTCGCACGCGGTCGAAATACACAGCTCGTGTCTCCAACTGTGCATTTGTTGCGCGCCGCTCGCTGGAATGGTCACTGGGCGGGAGTTTCCGCGGGTCTCCCGGCTGGTCCAGGAGGGGGCAGTGGTCTGGGCATGCAAAGGCGCGGGGCGGTGGGGATGGTGGGCTGTGGGAAGGAAGGGGCTCGATAGGAGGGGTGGCCAAGGGGCCAGGGATGAAAGGGTCTGGACGAAAGGGGAAGAAACGGGCCCAGGAGGAGCGGCATCATCGGCCTTAGCATCGCGAGGACGAGGGAAGCTGGGGGGGGCAGAAGGAGGGGGCATGATGTGCAATAGGGCGGAGAGGACTGGAGGAGGGCAGGCATGTGGACGATGGGGTAACGAATCCGGCGGAGGAGGACGACGAGGAACGACATGAATTGGCACATGGGGGTGGCAGTGTGGAGGAGGGGCATGATGAGGACCGGGGGCCATCGGAGGGACATGAGGAGAGCGGGGCCGAAGCGAACGGATGTCGGGGGGCTGCGGGGGATGGGGCATGAGTTTGAGGCGGGCGCCGGCTAACGATGAGCTGAACAGTGTTCTGCGTGTCCGCGCACCCCCCCAGACATAACACAGTTACCGGTTGCAGAACTTCATTATTTGGGTAATTGTGCGAGCTCACGACGCCCATTGGCGTCGCGTTGATGCCGCCCCGATTTGCCAGACCGCATATGCACAGATACGCATAATATGTGTTTCAACGTTTGTTTCACGACCCTGTCTATAGTAACAGACCCACGTTGGAAGCCAAGCCAGCAGGAGGCGCCAGAGGGGGAGCAGCCAGAGGAGGAACAACTGAGGAGGCGCCGACGGATGAGAAGTTTGAGGGGGCGACAGAGGATTGGAGCAGAGAGGAGGCTGACCGCAGTGCCGACAACCGCTCTAGCAGGTGCCCCGACAACTGCACCTGTTGCGGCTCGGGCAGCCGAGCCGACCTGGGGGCGCTGCGGCCGTTGGGCGAGCGCGACGGAGGCCCTGGCGACGGCGCCGTCGACCACGTCGGCGCTGGCGGCCAAGAGACGAGGAGGCGGCAGAGGAGGAGCAGGAAGAGGAGGAGAGGCGGAGAGGAGGGTGAGCAGGTGGACCAAGGGCCGCCAGGGTAGCAGCGCGGGATCCGATTGCCTCGCTGACATTGGCGCCGACAGTTGCACCAACGACGGCGCCGATCGGATCACCGACCACGGCGTCGACGACGACGTGGGTATGTTCGCCGACAGTTGCTCCGACGGTGGCGCCGACAAACAGTCCGACTGCATCCACGACAGCCTCGACAGCCGCTCCGCCGCCGCCGCCGAGTGGCATGTCGGGGAGTGCGAGGACTTCGAGGCCAGCTGGAGCTCCGAGAAGGTATTCGGGTTTTCCGAGCCGCTGGGGAAACCGACTTTGCTAACCGAGCTCGGGGACATCACGGACGGCGCCGACATTGGCAACGCCCTCGGAGCCATCTGCGGCACCGACAACCTCGCTGACAGCTGCGCCGACCACGACACCGACGGCTGCTCCCACGGCGGCGCCGACAGTCTTGCCGACAGTTGCTCCAGCAACCGCGCCCACGGCGGCGCAGACAGCCGCTCTAGCTACGGCGATGAACGCCTCGCCGACAGTTTCTCTGACAGCGGTGCCGACAACAGTTCCGACCGTTTCCCCGACAGCCTCGCCAGCCGTTCTGGCGACGTCGCCGAGTGGCATTTCGAGAAGTGTGAGGACTTCGAGGCCAGCTGGGACTTCGACAAGGCCTTCGGGCTTCCCGTGCTGTTCCCGAAGCGGACCTCGCCGACCGAGCGTGGGAACACCAGCTGCAACACGCAGGTGTTGTGGGGGCAGTTCGGAGAGAGCCCATCCATTGAGTGCACAGCCAGGTCGAGCTTCTCGGCGGTGACATGCAGTGTCTTTGACGAAGGGGGCCACGAGGGCTCGGAACGCCAGCTCGGCGGCGATCGCGGTCGGGAAAGGGCGGAGGCCAGCAGTGCCACCGAGCTCGTCCCCGTCAGCCGCTGCGTCGACCGCTGCGCCGACTGCGACTCCGACGGCCGCACGCAATGCCGCACCGACGGCTCCACCGACCAGTTCGCGGGCAACGGCGCCGACGACCCGCGGGCCCCCCCGCCCTATGTGGCCCGCAGGTCATGTCACTAATCCGAGCGGGCCATCGGAATCCTGCAACCGTCGTCGTTTTCGGGCTCCTGAGGCCTGAGTATGGCGGAAGTCTCAGGAGGGAACCTCGTCTGTGCGTGAATTGCGAGGAACTCTCAGGCGGGGGGGCCCTCTCTATGGGGCTCGCAAATCACGTTGCGAATCCGAGCGGGCCATCGGAATCCTGTAACCGTCGTCACCTTTGGTTTCTTCAAGCTTCTATATGGCGGAAGTCTCAGGCGGGAGCCTCCTCTGTGAGTGAATTGGGAGGGCGTCTCAGGCGGTAGCCGTTTCCCTATGGGGCCCGCAGGTCATGTTATGGATCCGAGCGGGCCATCGGAATTTTGTAGTTGTCGTCGCGTTTGGGTTCTTCACGCTTGAGTATGGCGGAAGTCTCAGGCTGGGAGCCTCGTCTGTGAGTCAGTTGCGAGGAAGTCTCACGCGGAGGCCCCTCCCTATGGGGCCCGCAGATCATGTTACGAATCCGAGCGGGCCATCGGAATTCTGTAACCGTCGTCACTGCTGGCTTCTTCAAGCTTCTATATGGCGGAAGTCTCAGGCGGGAGCTTCGTCTGCGAGCGAATTGCAAGGAAATCTCACACGGGAGTTTTTTTCCCTATGGGGCCCGCAGCTCATGTTATGAATCCGAGCGGGTCATCGGAATGTTGTAGTTGTCGTCACTTTTGGGTTCCCGAGGCCGGAATATGGGGGAGTCTCAGGCGGGGTTGCCCCAACGGCTTCGCGATGTGGCCATTTGACAATGCGCCCGTGCTGGCCGAGGCGGCGACGGCGCCAAGGAAAACCGACGCGCGCGTTCTTCCCAGGAGGAAGGAGAGGTTCACGAGGAGAACGGGCGGGGCGGAGATGAGGAACGGGAGAAGGAGGGGAGGTGAAGGAGGAGGAAACAAGGACGAAGAGGAGAAATAATACGAGGAAGAAGGGGAGGAGGATGAGGAGGCGGAGGACGAGGAGGAAGAGTAGGAGAAGGAGGAGGCGGAAAAGCAAGAGGACAAGAAACGCAACGAGTAGGACGATAACGAAAAGTTGGTGCCCTGGCGGGCCTGGGACGGACTCCGCCGGGCGGTCCCCGTTGGGAGTCGGTCTGCCGTCTCCGGTCCCCCGGGGACCCGACGTTCTAGGGCCGCGTGGGTAACCCCCCAAGGCTGGCGCGGGTTGGTTCTCCAGTCCGCGTCGGCCCGCGTGGTACCAGCCTGCGCGGGGGCTGGCTCTGGTCACTGTTGGGGCCTGCCCCTGACGTCGGGGTGTCGGGTGTGACCAGGGGGGTGAGCTCCTTCGGGAGTACGGCTCAAGACGTGGACCGCCTGGCCCCCCTTGGGCAAGGGGGCCTGTGGGGGCGGGCCTGGCTACCCATGTGCGGAAACACGCGCCGTGTGCCCCGCACGGTGACGTGGGGTAGCTTGTGTCCCCTGGTGCAGGAAGAGCCAGGGAGGCATGGGGGCTGGCCACCATCGGTGGTCAGTGCTGCTCAACGAGCAGCACGTGTGAGGCCGGCGCCTCCTCTTTTTTCCCCTCCTCCTCGCTCTCGCTCTCTCTCCTGCCTCTGGCCCCGTCGGCGGGGCGGCCCCTAGCTCTAGGGGGTCGCGGGGTGGGCAAAGCCCCATCCAGGTCGGGCGTTCGCGGGGTCGGACCCCATGCGCGCCTGCTTCGTGCGCGGGAGGAGGAGGAGGAGGAGGACGCAGCGGGCGGAAGGGAGGCCTCCGCCAGTCGCAGAAGAAACGGGCGAGGGACAAACTAAATCGATTTTCGTGCGGGGCCCGACCGTCGGAATAATTGTTTGTCTTCGGGGAAGGCCAAGACAACTTCTCGGAAAGCCGGGGGGTGCTTCCGAGCCTTCTGAGAAAGCTTTCGTTTTCTCACCTCCCCCCCTTCGCTCGCCGCGGACAGGGGGGGTGCTTGGGGGGCGCATGGGCCCCCCCAGTCGCCCACGGATCGCCGCTCGCGTGGGCGCCCGGTGCCCACCCCGCCCAGTGGCAGAAACGCACCTGCAGCCGGGGGGGGGGCCCCACCGTCAACCTCCCGGCGGCGCATCGCCGGTCCCGGGTCGATTCCCCCCCCCCCCCCCCCTCCCCTCCTGGGCCAGTGCCCCCCTTTTTGTCTTCCGTCGGGCGTGTCCCTTCACTCGAGAAACATGCCATAGCAGTGCAAGGAATTATGGCCACGACTGTTCGTGCAATTTTGGCGATGCTTGATGATGATTGGGACTATGTCTACGTTTCTCCCGCCTGTAGGAAGACATGCCCGACCCAATCCTCGTCGTTGCCCTGCATCCCCACGTGGGCCCTCGCGTGCGTGTCTAGCCTGCAGACGTTGGCCGGTTGTGGGCCGTCGCGTGGCAGGCCTGAGGCCGAACATACCGCTGGGCAAACATTTTCAGTTGCTGTGCGTATGGGGTCCTCTGGATACGTATGCGCCAAATATGTGCCAAGTCAGAGCCCCGAGTTGTCAGGGCAGGAGGTGGTCAGTAATAACTCCTGGTTCGGACCTCCCGTTTTTGCTCCGTAGTTGCCCCGCATTGCGCTCAACTCGAGTTGTCTGGGATCACCTTTCTGGTTTTTTTAAATAATAATTCGGGAGCCTAACCAAGGTGGAGGGGGCGCCCCTTGAAAGTGTCTCACGGCATTCCAGCATCGGGCAGAAGCGGTGGCGGATTGGTCCTAAGCTCCTTTTTTTTGCGATTGTTCGCGCACGCCCGCGCAGGCATCCGTGCTGGTTTTTGGCCCATCCATGGAGAGTGGCATGTACGCTGACACCCTGAAGCTCGACTTGCTGAACAAGCGAACCCATTGGACAGGCATGCCATCTTTGCGAGGAGAGGAAGGCACAACAACTCTGGAAGGCGCAAGAAGAGAGGAAGTGCGCAGCGGCCGCGCACATGTATGCGTCTGCACAGATCGCGTGTCGCTTCGTGTGCGGGCGGGTCGACGAGTAGGATGTCGGCGAGGCCACACATGCAGTCCTGTGCTTTCCTTGGCACTCCCGGGCAAGCTGCAGCCAGGACGGGGGCAAGAGAGCGCGGCCGTGTGCGTCGCAGTGTTTTTTTGTCCGCCCAGTCGTGGCCGCCCAGACCAAGCTGGCAGCCGGCACGGGGGCGGCAGCACGGCCATGTGCACCTTTAGTTTGGACGCCCGAAATGGGTACTGAAAGAATGGGTACAAGGCCCAACAGCAGTTCCTGTTCATTCTGAACAGAACTCGCTGTCCGCGCCGCCGCGGCCTGTGTCCATTCGAGGCAGGAGGCCGCCCGCCCAACAGCGGCCGCTGTTGGTTTGGGACAACATGTGCTGTTGGGCATTGTACCCATTTTTTCGGTACCCATGTATAGTATGTCGTAGAAGGGATCGTAGCTCTCTGGGCCGCAAGTCTAGCCGACCTTGTGGCGAGAGTGCTCCTCCGGAGAGTAAACAGGGAGGGACTATCAGGCGAGATGGCTGCCAGGTCGGGCGACCTCTGGCTCCCCCCCTCCACTGCGGTACAGTCGGGGCGTTGACCTAAGGAACCCCAAATAAGGAACGAGGCCCCTTTTTCCCATGAGTTCAACCTCGATTTCCCGTGGAAAATCTTAGGGAAGCCCGAGGCAAATTTTGAAACATTCAAGGAGCACAGCGCCCCTCCCCAACGAAAAAGGGTTCCTTCTTCAGCGCCCCGACTGTACTACGCTATGATCCTTTCTGACCATCCCCATTAACCTCCTAGCGAACCGCCATTGAAAAAGCCGCGCAGGTAAGATTTCTCGGGGGACGGGGGGGGGCCTCAACGCCGATCCAAGATATCCGCGCGGGGTTTCCGAGAATTATGTTTATGCCTTGTTTTGTTTCTCCACAGTTGGAGTTGGACCCGAATTTTGCCCAGTATCATCCGCGGCGTGACGCCTGCCAGAGTCAGCGCGTCTGATCGGCAGCTGACTGAGCTGAGCGGCGGGCAAATCCTTGCGGCCTCCAATTGTGAAAGTCAAGCACTGTGTTTCGCATCGGTACATTTATGCAGTGCCCGAAACAGTGTCCGCAAACAAGTTGTCCGATAAAGCATGCCGCGAAAGTCACTGAACAAAAATAATGACCACATTTTGAATTGTCCTGTTAAGGGATCGGGTAGTGATGCAGAGGCCTTGGTAAGCACAGAGACAAAACAAACAGGCTGCTGCATTAAGGTGCAGTGGCTGTTCTGAACAAGTGCAACGCGGGTTTCGACATACCCTGCTGTACCAAGACGAAGTAGCCAGGCAACAGTCAAACGACGGCGGCTGAGACAACATACATGGAGTGGCATCTTTCTGTGTTCTTTTTGACAGTCTATTTGGCAGCCTTGCTTCTTCGAGCCTTGGTTTGCCTTGTCATGGTCTCATGTGTTCCGAGCCGCGTGCTTCATCATCCTTCTGCCAAGCTTGTTGCGAAGTTGTTACGTGCCTCATTGTTACAGTGTCTGAACGTCGCTGAGGCCCCCCCCAGGTGGAGTCGGTGTCGCTGCAGCTGTATTCGGAACGCAATGCTAGTTCACAGGACAGATTCCCAGTTGCCCCTCTGTATCTGAGGCTCACGTCGACTACTAAGTGGGTCGGGATCCAGTTTCCGAAGCGTCAGCGTGTGCACTTCGCCCCGAGGCGAAGTCGTGCTCGACTACGCCTTCCATCTTGCCAACACGAGCTCGCTCCTGGGAATTTTTATCAGCCATCCGGAGCACCCTTACAACAAGATGGAGAGGGCTTGCATATTCGTCGTCGTCGGCCGCTCCGCTGGCGAAGCGGTTCCCCTGGATATTTCATGTGAGTGTTGGTGGTGTGAGAGCGCGTGGTTAGAGGAACAGTTGCTCTCGCCCCCATACTGGGCATGGTCCTACGTAACGCTGCTTGTGCTCAGCCTTCCTCGCAGGCTGCCAAGACCCTCAGATCGCCGTACTTGTTTGGGCAGGAGTTGTCGATTCCCGATCTTGTTTTCCCAGATTTGCAGCCAGCATCTGGACACGTGTTTCTTTTTGTCGGCCTCCATCCCCTTCCTGTTCCACATCCTGTTTCTCTTTCTACTCCCCCCGACATGTTCATCTGGCACCC